TTTTTTTTTTTGAGACAGCGCCTCAAGCTGTTGCCCTGGGTAGAATGCCTTGGCATCACAGCTCACAGCAACCTCCAACTTCTGGACTCAAGTGATTCTCCTGCCTCTACCTCCCAAGTAGCTGGGACTACAGGCGCCCGCCACAGCACCTGGCTATTTTTCATTGCAGCCGTCATTGCTTGGTGGGCCTGAGCTGGATTTGAACCTGCCAGCTCAGGTGTATGTGGCTGGTACCTTAGCCGCTTGAGCCACAGGTGCTGATCCCAGTTTAAAGAACTTATTTAGTACATTTCTTTATTGACAAATGTCTTGTTTAAATGTTTATAGTTACAAGGTGCCAGAATGCCTAATTTTACCGTTTTACACAAATCCAGTTTTATTTCTTTGGATTTGGCAAAAGTAGTATAAAACAACTCAGTTTAAACTGTGCCGCTATTAATCCTGTGGCAAGTTTCCATCAGGCATTGTCACACCTAGATAAACTCAAAAGTATGAAGCAGCTATATAAGTTGGCATGCCATAGTGATTATTTGGAGGCTATGAAATTGATCCTGGCTTGGGAGTTGCTGCAGATGCTGATACCTCTGTGATAGGTACCATGAGGGAGTAGGGATGAAAGGTTTGGAGGCGATTTCAGTGTTGACATGCCTATTAGACATTCAGAGAGAGGAAGGTATACAGAGCAGGGAAGGGAATTCAGGCAGCTTACCAGGGGGAAATTCCGTTTCTTAGTTTCACTAGCTATGTTTAAAGTGCTCAGTAACTACACATGGCTAATGGCATCTCTGTTGGACAGTGCAGAGAGAGAATATTTCCATCAAATATTTCCAGAATATTTTCATCAATTTCCATCAATATTTCCATCAATTTTAGTTTAGAGCAGTGCTGTTGGTCAGCACTACTCTAAACTAAATGAATGGGCTCCCACAATGGTTTTTTCCTGTTTGAAACATGGAGAAGGGCTCAGCACCTGTGGCTCAAGCGGCTAAGGCGCCAGCCACGTACACCTAAGGTGGCGGGTTTGAATCCCCAGCCCGGGCCCGCCAAACAACAATGATGGCTGCAACCAAAAAATGGCCAGGCGTTGTGGCGGACGCCTGTAGTCCCAGCTACTTGGGAGGCTGAGGCAGG